TCAATTAACCTTATGACTTTTTTAATGAGTTTTTATTAACCAATAAATTTTCATTTTACGCCGAAGACGGCAATAGCAACGGAAGTCGGGAAGTACGAGCGCATTTGTTTGTCTGTGATGACTACGATGTTAATCATGATAGCCTTTTGATATCGTTTCTTTTATTCATCAGTTATTTTATTTAGTACCGATTGCACCAACATTACTTTGACTTTTAGCAAGACTTAAAACTTTCTCTCTTTTTAAAAACGAGACGAAGAGGGAGAGTTTTAGCTTCGCTTAAAGTCAAAGTAATGTTGGGCCTTAGACGCATAAAAATTGTATTAGTCCTTCACTACAGCTATGAAAGTTACATCTAAGTTCTAAAGTGCTCTGTTTAAAGTACAGAATGAAAGTGAAGGACTCGTTGATGTCGTTGCTGATATAGCCCAGAGTTAAATATCAGAGTAGTATAATATTTTACTCTCTATCTAAAATAATTATCCTATCACTCGAATGTAGATGTTTGAATTACTTGTATAATTCAAATCCAGATATTTGAAAAGCTGCTTTGAGAAATTAGACAAAAAATTAATCGCAGAATGTAACAGAATTTATCGAAATTATTTATCGAAAATTATGTGTGCATAACTTTCACATGTCTGTTATAAATTTAATATGTTTTATAATTACGCGGCAAAAATATTACAAATATAATGTATACTATAAAACTTTAGGAACAAGAAAAATAATCTTAAAATTAAATACTTTTCAATTTTGATAATGGAATATTAATTGATTTACATACTCATACAATAGACAGGTTTTTTCGACTGTAACGATATTTTCCGCTGCGAAAAACATTTTTCAGAGCTAGCAAAAGAAATTGAAATAGATAAATAATGGACTAAATAAATAAATAAAAGAATAATAGAAAAATAAATTTAGTATTCATAGCTTTAAATCGTATATATAGAAAAATATATGATATATATATATATATATACGTAATACTGTATATAATGACGGAAACGAATCAGAAATCTTTCTTGAGTTAAGTTTAATCAGTGTCGCGATTGACAGCGAATAACTATCTTAAAGTTCTGAAATCAGGACAGACTTTAAGAAAAGCAGTATAAGCAGATACACCTTATATTTTCCCCAGCATAATCGTGTATATTGACACTTTGATTGATGTTAGGAAATTATATTTACCCATCAAGATATGATGTATGATAGGATTAATCCAGATTAGAGCTTCTAACATTTTGCTTTTTCACAGCCCAAGAATATTTTATCTGCTATTTTAATTATCAATAACTTATCGTAAAAAAAAGTTTTTCGCAAAAATAAACTTGTTAAAATTTCGATATAATAATCTTGAGAAATAAATAACAATAATAATAATCTATATATATAATAAGAGAATATGTTAATTGATTTTTAAAGTACAAATTTCCAAGTACAATTCTAAGAAATATTCTAAAAATTTAAACTCGCAGAAATCTGTTCTCATCAAATATGGTGATATGAACGATCCGATTAAACAAAATTGACTGTACGGCGGTCAGATTTCAGGGTGGTGCAGTGCTCTGCAAACTGATCAAGTTCGGACAGCCATTCGGCCTGTATCTCAGTTCCTATATCCTGACGGTGACCGCGATAGACAGATATCATGCCATTTGCCATCCCTTTAGTTACTGTAGTGTCACATCTCGAAGATCGAAAATGATGGTGTACGGGGCATGGACGCTCGCCGCTATGCTGTGCGTACCGCAGGTCTGTTGAAAATTTAATTTGCTGTCTCTCCGCTTCCCCGCGAGACGTATCCTACTTGCACGATCCACCTTGCCATGCGCGGAAGGTGGACCAGGTTACTTGAGATATTAATTTTTATCCTATACAGACAGCGGACACAAATCTAATTGTGCTGACACGCTAATTTGCACAGAAAGAAATAGTTTTATTAAAGTATCTAAAAAAATTCAACTAGAACATATCTGCAAATAATTTCGTTGGACTAGCAAAATAATTATATAAAAAATTGAAACATAATAAGTAATGCTGCAAAAAGTTTTAACATTCTAGCAACCGGTTTGAACAATCTACATAATTATTTTGATGTAGAACGAACTTATTTTCAGATTTATATCTAACTATTTAAATTTTTTAATATTTTGACAAAATTGTTTTTCTATGTATCAACATGCTAATTATTTGAGACTTATCGCTTGTAAATGTCAATGTATTTATAAGCGACAAGCATATTTTGTACTTCGCAAATTTCTTGATATTTTTGGTAAACGTATCTTTAGCGTAACCATCGGACAATCGTAAATATCGATGCGTTTCTTATTACAAATTACAAATCTCTTTCATTCAATAATTTTAGATTTTTATATTCTCATACATGGAAATATCGCCTGGCGTTTGGGAGTGTTGGGCCACCTTCTACCTGAAATATGGCGAGAGAGCCTATATTACTTGGTAATATCCATTTATATATTTTTTCATTAAAAAATATCTTATTTTTATAACATATAACATTTAATAACATTAATAGATTTAAGTGTTGTGAGATATCTGAATTCAATTATAGGTACAGTGTTATGCAATTCCTATTACCCTTCATAGTGCTCGTATATACTTACACAAGAATATGTATATCGATATGGAGAAGTAATAAATTATCGGGACTCATTGATCTCAAAAGAAACAACAAAGTCAGTTTTTGTCAGCGAAATCGAGATCCCCTTATCTCCAAAGCAATGATCAACACTGTAAAACAAATGATCGTTGTGGTTACTTTATATATCGTCACCAATACCCCGTTTATCGGATGCGAGCTATGGGCAACATGGGATCCTAAAGCTTCCACCTCGCCATTTTTTACCGGTAAATATCCTATCAAAGAATAGTGATAAATAATAATACAGGGTGGTCCAAAAGTTCGTTTACATTTCAAATGATGATTAAAAAAAAACTGCTTATGTGAGATAAAAAGTTGAAATTTATTATTAAAGTACACAAATCGGGATTTTATTTCTTAAAACATTTAGCAATTTGGAAATTATTATTATTTCAGTCAAGGTATAATTGGTTACAATTCATAACACTTATAATAAAGTTAATTTGTTATTATGTATATCGTCTTAATTTATGTTATTATTATAGATACGTGTTAATATGCAAAAAAAAGATAGCGGGATCATCCGTATTTATTTTTCGGATCTAATGTTTCTGTAATATTTCCTTAAGGTATTAAATTATTTATTAATTCTTATCTCATTGTATGCATCATAACTCGCAGGGGCTGCTTTCACTATTCTAAGTCTCCTAAATAGTCTCACGAGTTGCGTTAATCCTTGGATTTACTTCGCATTTAACAAGGAATTACGTGTGGCGTTGACATGCTTTTTCTGCAGAAAGAAAGATTATTCGTTGACCTACGGTAATTATAATCTTTTAATACTCTCTCTCTCTCTCTCTCTCTCTCTC